GTAGCCGCCGGAACTTCCGCCGCCGCGCCCGCCGCGGTAGGAGCCGCCGCCGGAACTACAGGGAGTAAATGTCACACTCACTTAACTGTGACACTGGGAAACGGTGGGTCGCTCTCCAGATTATTGTTACTTTAGAAAATAATCAAAACGTGTTTTGAGGAAAAAAAATAGCCCTGCCAAGTATGTATTTTAAAACCCATTCTTTAAAAACAATTTTATTTACACACAACTCTAAGAATCATTCTTGGGCCAAATACATGGGAAATGCGACTGGTTGCATATGCATTTTTCTATACTCAGCCTCCTCCCTTCTCCCATTTCTCCCATTCGCTGGCATGTCCTTGGATTTTGGGAAAGCCTTGCAATTTGGAATGTTTAATAAAAACAATTGGGATAATTTAAAAAATTTTTTTATAACTTACCTTCCCTCTCCTTCTAGCAGGCTGCGGTAGGTTTGAATTTCATTCTCCAGTCGGATCTTAATATCCAGGAGTTGTTGGTACTCAGAATTCTGGCACTCGGTTTCAGCTCGAATCTGTTGCAGTTGTTCCTCCAGGGTGGAGATCTGGGCCTGAATCTGTGAGAGCTGCACACAGTAGCGACCTTCTGTTTCTGCCAAGGAGGCGTCCAGGGATTGTTTCTGAAAAAGGCAGAGGATATATCGTGGCTTAACAACTCTGTGGTTCAACTGAGTACAGTGAAGCTTATTTAATAACTTAATAGGACATATAGAAGCATAAAGAAAATGAGTAGAATTTGTTTTACATTTAATGGCAACTTTTCAGCTATAGCACTTTTAGATCAATGTCAATAATGCTTTTCTCCCATTAGCAAAGAGCCCAATTTTATTTCTACTTTCTTACCCCAACTCTGCATTTTCTGTTGTGTCGCATATTACATGAGTATGAAACTTTGTGTGATAAAGTTGAAGTCATTTCATGAAAGAGGTATTAACATACCAGTGCTAGCTGGGACTGTAGTTCGATCTCCAGACCTTGAATTGTGCGTCTCAATTCAGTAATCTCAGTTTTATAGCTGGATATTTGTTCAATGTTACTATCGATTTCTGTAGTCAGTTCCTTACTCTAGAGTATTAAAAAAAAAAAAAAAGAAAAGAAAAGATGAGAAAAATCTGAAATGATAACCAAACCTCCACTGGCTTCACTATGAAGGAAGGTGAGTTACCTTTTCATTGTACCAGGCTTCAGCATCTTTGCGGTTTTGTTCAGCAAGTTCTTCATACTGGTTTCTCATGTTATTCAGAAGTTGAGTCAGATCAATGCCTGGGGCAGCGTTCATTTCCACATTCACATCACCAGTGTTCACATTTTGGAAGTCTTTCATTTCCTGTTCGAGGAATAGAAAAATTTAATGACTGCACAGTGACCATGACGAGCCCTCTTTTGGCCCCAGGAAGTACATATCACTTTTTGTGTCACCTCGTCATGATTCTTCTTCAGGTAGGCCAGCTCTTCAGTCAGGCTTTCGATCTGCATCTCCAGGTCAGCCTTGGTCAGGGTGAGTTCATCCAGCACCCTGCGCAGGCCGTTGATGTCAGCGTCCACACTCTGGCGCAGGGCTACCTCATTCTCATACCTGAAATAATCATGATGTAATTACTGGCTATAACTTATATAAGGGAGGTATCCCTGGGAAGAGAATATTTAAAAAGCAAATATAGACTGAACAAGCCCAGTCCTATCTGATCTTGGAAGCTAAGCAGGGTCGGGCCTGGTTAGTACTTGGATGGGAGACCACCTAGGAATACCAGGTGCTGTAAGCATAAAAAATAAATAAATAAAAAATAAGGGATTGTAAGCTGACAAGGTCCTTGCAATCTGTGAGGTCAACCAAGGGTTGCCTCACCTAAAAAAGAAAAAAAATTAAAAATTAAAAAATTTTAAAAACATATAGAGTTGATGTCATATCATGGCAACATTTATGATATACTAATTCACACAGGAATATTAGTGGTTTAATGCAAAGAAGCTTAGCAGTTACTTTAAAATGCATTTTCTTCTTTTAACATTGTCCTAAAAGATAATATTGAAATTAAAAATTTCTCTGACAATTCCAATACTGTTTAATTTTGAGTGAATTCAGGAAAATGTAAATGTTATGTGGGCATCCAAAGTCATTGTTAAAAACAACTCATGTGTTTGTCATGCCATTCACTTAGCTTACTTCAGCCTGAAGTCGTCAGCTGCCAGCCTGGCATTGTCGATCTGAAGCAGTGCATTGGCGTTGTCAGTTGTTAGATTAAGGATCTGGAAGAAGAGACAAATAAATCAGATACAGAAATACTTTATTAGTGGCATAGATGAACTGCATTTTTATGTTGTTCTCACAAAAAATGAAGGGAATTTTTTACTTTAAATGTGAAATATCATGGGATTACCCTTAAACTTAAATTTGAATTATTTGTTCTCTCGATTCTATACTCTTCTATTTCTATATCAGCGCTTTCTGAAAAGTAACTGGAATTCTATAGCTTTGTTCCTACATATGTGTCTACTTCTTTTATACTGTGTGATTTCCATGTATTTCAGCAAACTTTTGACTGACTCGTAGCTGTATTTGGTTTAATTTGTTATTATTATATATTCTAAATTAATATACTCGAGGCTGACACACAGTAGGTACAAATCACAAATCCCTAGAGACAAGCAATATTCCATTTCCATATTGGAGAGTTCACATTTCTTGCAATGTTGGTAATGAGTATTTTTTTTTTGTTATCAATCTGAATAATATTTTGTTCTGACTCATTTAATAGTTCTTTAGGTTTTTATATTCGTAAATGACCTAATGCATTTTAAGTACAGACTTTTTATACATTCATTAATACCAAAAAATAATAAGACACACAGAACACATGTTGGATGAAGATTACAATGACTATACCCTCACAAATATTTACTTTCGATGAAACTGGATTGTTTTTGGAAGCAAGAAAGTAACATAGGCAAACACAGTGAACAGCTTTCTCATGAGTATTTTAAGATTGATCCATCTGAATCACATGGATGAAACACGGGCTTAAAGTTGGATTTTTAAAATGACCCCTTACCTGATTTTTAAGATCTTCGATGGTTTGGTAGTACTTGCTGTAGTCACGAGGCTCTCGCTGGTTTGTGCTGCCATACTTTTCATACCACTGCTTGATTTTGCCTTCTAGCTCATAGTTTGATTCTTCCAGAGCTCGAACTTTGTCCAAGTAGGAAGCCAGGCGGTCATTCAGATTCTGCATGGTTACTTTTTCATTTCCAGAGAGAAGGCCACCATCTCCTCCATATCCACCACCAAAGCCTCCAAAGCCGCCTCCACCGAAGCTGCCCCCACCGAAGCTGCCCCCACCGAAGCTGCCTCCTCCAAAGCCGCCTCCTCCATAGCCCCCACCAAAGCTGCTGCTTCCATAGCTTCCACCAAAGCTACCTCCACCAAAACCTCCTCCTAATCCTCCTCCTAACCCTCCTCCATAGCCACCTAATGAGCCCCCAAAGCAGCCTCCACCAGAGCTCCCACGGCTAAAAGAGCCACCACTGAAACCACCCCCTGAGCTAAATCCTCCACCAATGGAGCCTTTGCTGCTGGAAATTCGGAGGGAGGATCCTCTTCCACCTCCTCCTCCTCCTCCTCCTCCACTGCGGGAGGAAGAGTAATGCTTGCTTGAGCTGTATTGAACAGACATGGTGATGCTGTTTAGGCCAGGGAGTGCCTGCTGCTACCAAGGACAGAGACAAGCCTTTATATACTGAGAAGGTGTGTCCCACATGTGGTAGAGTTTGCTTACTTGCATGGTTTTCTTTTTGCCAACTTAGCATCTTTGGCTCTTGATTGCATAAATTATCTTTGGTAATAACCAATCCCAATATGTACAGTTTTGAATTTGCCTTGAGAACAAACAGGAGGTTTGCTGTGTTGAAATTGAAAATGGGTATCATTCAAATGAGCATGTTTCATTATGCTCTTTCACCTTTTGAAGAACATTGAGCAACTGTTAAAATCCAGTTTGATCTCAGCACTATTTTAGGTTGCACCGAATGCAAAGTTTGGAAAGATAATTTTAGCTACAAAATTATGATGAAGATTTTTCAAATTCATGTTTAAAACAGCTTTAACTAATTGGAGCAACAAATAGCATAGTCTCTCAGCATCATGCTATAATAGGGGTCTTGTTGAAAACTGTAAGCAACTGAAAAGAAAACACATATGCTAAACAATTAGTCTTCAAAAGTTGTCACATGAAAAGTTAAAGCCATAAAAGCACAATTTAGGGCGTGTGTGTGTGTGTGTGTGTGTGTGTGTGTGTGGAATCTTTTGATTTATTTGGAGAATAAAAGTTTATTGATATTTTGCTCTCAAATTGGAAGTGAGTAATGACTTAGGAATCTTCTAAGTTAATGGTGCTGTTCTTTTTAACATTAAAAATTCTAAAATTGTGAAATTATTCCATTTTTGACCTTTAAATAAATTGTATTTAAGGCTTATGTGAAGGCCACATGCAGAAATTCTTAGTGTAAGATATGAATAACTAACCTCCAGTACTTTCTTGTACTAAGTCTGATTGATTGAAAGGGAAAATTTAGATATGATTGCGAGTAAAATTTGCTTGCAAGAATATAAATCTAGATTAGAGAATGATACTTGCTCTGAAAATTATGAACCAGACTGTGAACATGTTTCCAAGCTAGATTCTGTCTCTCAAAAAAAACCAAAAACAAACCGATAGCATGGGTATTCTGTGTGTAGAATTTGGTATAAACAGTTTGTCTAGTGAAGTATTTAATTGGGACTTTAATACGTGATATAAAATTATTTTATATCCATAGACATTGTCATTGCAGTGTGCATATGTGTGTGTACTCATTCACACTTATTTTGTAGCTATACAGTGCTATTTTTGTTGCTTTGAGAGAAGTTATGATTTCGCCTAAAGATATATAATAGGTGGTTGAACTGAGATTAGAAACTTGGTCTTTCGATGCCTGGCTTTTGGCGTTTTTCTACTATACCAGCGTGTGTATACGTGTATTCTCTGCTCTGGAGGATTTGATCTGATAGAACTGAATTCCTCTGTTATTATAAACTTCACATGGGGAGAAAACAAAACAAAGCAAATTTGGAAGCATGGAAATATTGAAAGGGTAGAGTATTTGGGATACACTCTTCTATTACTAATTGCCTTTTCAAGTTAAATTTATAGCTATACATTCCAGTTTATGAAAACTATCGACATAATTTCTGCAGGGAAAGGGAATGTGGTTGAGAGCATAATGAAGAGTTGATTATTAGCGTGGAGGTTACTGCCCAACAAATTGCAGCTCCTCCAACTTGTTAGTACATGCAAGTGGGGCAGGAGTTAAAAGGAAAATGAAACCCAACCATGAGAATTGATCCCTGATGAAGATAACGTAGTAAAGGAAGGCTATGATAAATCAGGATAGAAAAAAAAAAATTCTAGTAAGTTAGTGGATGTCGAAGACTTGGTATTAATGAAAGCAGTTTGGAAGGAAAACATTTAAATTAGAGTTTTTGGAAGATTTTACCTGTAATTATGACAAAGTTTGACTCTTGATCTTACCAGTTTTGCTTTATTATTAGCCCAAAATGTTTTCCCCTTGTGGGAAAATATAAAAATCACAATCTAGTTTCAGTTAGTTAACAAGTGGTATGAAGAGATCTGTTACAATCATATTAAATCAAAGAATATGTGAAATGATTGCATAAAATCACTAGGGAATACCCTTATAGTGAGCCTTCTAATACTGACTGTAACAATTTAAGCCACCTTTAATGTTATCAAAGATTATTAACTTGTACACTACAGATTGATTTGTCTTTATTTGCACTATCATTTGTTGAAATCAGCCTTTGGCATAAGTGAAACTATAGAGGTGCCATGTAACAATTCTACAGCTAAAGTGGTTGAAAACTTACAATTTTTTTAGTCTTGGCACTATTTACACTTGATTGATATAATCTATGATAAAAGTAATGTAATCGTTCTCAGTTTTTATTGTGTTTCCATGCAAGGCACGTTGATAGGTGTTTAGAAGATAGGAAGATGAATGAGATTCAGTTTCTGCTCTTAAGAATCTTATCAGTTATTACAATCTAATGAGGAGACATAACAGACACTATCAACTTAAGCACTATGTAAATAAGTGGGAGGGAGGCGGGGAGGGGTGGAGTTAACATTTCCTGAACTTCTACTTTGTTCTAGATAGTTTACTCTCCTTTATTCCTCCCCCCTTCCCTCAATTCTCTATAGCATATATTATTTACCTCATTTTATAAGCTGAAAAAATTAAGCTTTAGGAATTTGCCACAGTAACACAACTAGTTTAATCTAAAGCCTGGTTTTAAATCAGGCATATCTAGCTTCAAAGATGATACTGTTTAATGACACTGAACTGCCACTGTTAGACTGATGAGTGAGGAGTCTTGTTGGAACGGGGTCACCTGAACAGTTTCGTGGTGCAGGTGGAATTTGAGTCTTGAGAAGGATGGGTGGGATTTTCCCAGGTGTACAGCAGCAGAGGAAGGACTGTTCTGGGAAGCGAGGACTGCGAAAATGCCAAGCAGGTGGAGACTCTAAGTGGACCAGTTTGGCTGGATCAGATGGTCCATGTAATTAATTTCTCTTAACAGGTTTTATTGAGCACCTGCAAAAGTCCCTAGAGATACATAGGCAACCAAGATACAATTTCTGCCCCTCAAGGAGTTTACAGTCTATTTGGAGAGGCAAACAAACATACCCATGAATCAAAGGTTATATAATAGGGGAGATAATCTGGGTTAATTGAGGTGTGGACATGGAGTTGAGGGAGTGCAGAGAGGGGTTCTAACAGTCTGGTTGTGTGTGCGTGCATGCGCACAATGAAAGAATAGTTTGGAGAAGGTGAGTTTGGTTTAAGATGTGAATTTGAAGGACTAATACCAGGATGTTTATGTAAAAATGTCTTTCAGCGATTAGAGCCACAGGATTACAGTTCAGGACAGAGATTAGAGCAGCAGACTTCAGGATAGTTAGGACCCCTAAAGGAAGGAATTTAGAAAGAAATGAGCAGAAAGTCTAAGCCTGAACTTTTGAGGACAGCTACGTTAGAGGCTGGAAAGAAGAGCTAGAAAATAACACTGAGAAGAAGGGCACCTAGGACTGGGGAAAGGTGGAAGATGGATCATGGAAGTCAAAGGAGGGGAGAACCCAGAGATGGTGGAGTGGTCCCCGGAGAGACTGGTCAAGGAGAAAGGAGATTGAAAAAAGACTGTTTGCTTGGCAGTTAGGAACCCATTGCCATCCTCCCAAAGGGCAGGTTTAGTAGAATGGTGGTGGGGCAATCGATGACAGATAGCAGATTGGAACTGATGGCTTTGCTTATGTTATTTTACTTTCATGTACTCCAGTTTATCAGTTTTCTTCAATCACTTCTGGATTTTGGGTCGTGGTTAGGACGGGTATAGGTGCTAGTCTCATGGGGTTAATTTATCTAAGGTTCTTGAAGCATGTTACCAGCGTGACTTGCCTTACTGTTGGGATTCGGATCTTTCCTTTTATAAGGAAATTATTTTGCTTCAAGTAAAATTCTCTCTCTTTTTTTAAATTATCATTTATTTATTTTTTTTCCCATCTTTAAATCCCTCCCCTCCACTCCTGACCTATGGATTTTGCTATTTCAAGAATTGGATCTCTGAAGGCAGGGCGTCTCTTCCCACGCACTTGCGGCATGCGTTGTGCACCCAGGGCCTGGAGCACCTGGAGCCTGGCACCCCTGGTGCACTTGGGAGGCCTGGCACGCCTGGGGCATGGTCCGTGGCTCTACTTGAGGCGCAAACCCAGGACCTTCTGCATGTAAAGCAGATGTGCTAACCACTACACTATGGAGCCACCCTGTAAAATTCTCTTTTGAAGTTTCTAGTTGAAAATTATATTTGCACATTTCTTTTTCTGATTGAGTAGTTGAGATATAATGAATAACTTAGGTGGTTGCGGAAAGATGAATCTGGTAATGCAGGTTATATCTCAAGATGACAAGGTTGATGAGCTAAATGTTTGACATTTTCTAACTATCACATAAAATTTTGAGAATTAGACATTTTTTGCTTGAGTGTTCTGTGGCTGTGGAAATTGCTGAATATGCCTTTGTGATTGCCACCCATGGCGTCAAAGCCAAGTGGAAAGTTGTACAGTTATTCAATGGATTTGGTACCCTCCTCCCAGACTGCCGAGTAATGAGAACAACTAAGATAAGGCCCATATCTTCTCATTGTCAAACTTCTAAGATTTAGGACTCTAGAATCTGGATACACACTCATCTTACACAATCTTTCTAAAACTTCTGGGACTGCGCTGATGGAAGCTACAAAAGTATGGAAACTGCATGAAGGCTTTTCAGTGTAGTGTGTCAAGTGGTTAAGTGGGTGGGCTCTGGAGTCAGACTGCTTGGGTTATAATCCAGGCCCCACCACTTACTGTGTGGCTTTGTCTCATCTCTAGAGTAGGAATAATAATTTTACCTACCCTACAGAGCGGTAATGAGAGTTAAATGAATTAGTAAATATACAGCCTTTGGAATAGTGCCTGGTATACATAGAATAAATGCTTAATGTTTTTTTGTTATTGTTATTACTATGCGATCTCTCTTTCTCAGAGACCAACCCACAGTAGGCCAGCAAAATATGAATGAATGAAAGGATAA